AGTCTATGTATCATCTTTTAAGGAGTTGGACAATTAAAAAAAAAAAACTATATGAAAACTATCATATCACTACACAAATACACAATATATTAAAGAAAATACAAAATATCCTACAAATTCTACAGAGACTGCTAAGAAAGCCTTAAAATCACCTTAACAACAGCTACTACAACTAACCCCAATGAAGTGCAAGAAAAAATATTACAGTTGTAATGATTTTTAGACTCCAACTAAACATTGTTTAACTTTGTCCATACCAAAACTTATCAAATCATTACATTTAACATGATTAAAATTATATTCAAAAACGTGTTAAATTTAAACAAAAACTAACTTGTTTCATTTTGAATTACCCTATTAGATGTCGACTTTACCCAGACACCACTTAAACACACTATTGAAATCTGATTGGATTCTGATTATCATCTATTAAAGACCTAAGAATTAAGTAATACAAAGACAAATTCTACAGAGAGCACTACGAAATCTTTTCAAACACCCTAATAACAAATTACAACACCTGTTAAAATTCTGGGAAAGACTTTATAACCCAAACATTTCAACATGAACCTCTATTACAAATCAATATTGTAAAAAAAAGAAGAAGAATATCTTACATATTTTGACTACTGCAGTCTTGAATGTAGCTGGATGGTAACAGAAATATAATTAGGCCTGTTGTCTGGATCGTCCCAGACTACAGATTCATATTTTCCTTCAAGCAACATGAGAGTTTCCCTATCTTGTGCAGATACAGCAGAGGTAACACCAAACTGCTGGGCAGATTAAACCAGAATATACTAAGTTGCACTGCACATTTCACAGTGCTGCTTAGCACAGGTGAATTGTTCATAGCTATAAAACCAAAGAGCCCCAGAAACCACAACCAAACAACACAGGTTATAGTCACGATGTTGTAGAAAGCTCTCAGTTTTGACTGGTTATGCTTCTCCTTTTCACCACCTGGCCCTGAGCGAATCAGAACCCAGAGTACAGAGAGACTGCAGAAAGATATGATTATTAAACACAAAACTAAAAAGCACAATATGGTATTATTGTTAAGTGAATATGTAGCTGTAACAAGTTCCATTCCAAGGCACAGCAACCAAGTACAGCTAATGCTAATGTTTCTGATCCTGGCCCCACGGGCATTTCTTAATCCCAGGTAAATGATGGGGTGAACAACAGCCAAGTAACGGTCTACACAGGTCAGGACATGAAAAATAACCTCTCCATAGTGAGTAAACAAACAAACAAAAGACCCCACTTTTTGAATCACTGTCTGAGACGTGTATATGCCACCAAACTGGATAAAACCCCCCAAAACCCAAATCAGCTCCATGGCAGCCATGTGGTAGGTGAAGATGTCAGAGTGGCTTGCTGTTTTAAAGGAGCGCTTCAGCTGCCATTGTTGGCAACCAAGATAAAGGACAAGGCTGCACAGAGGGAGGAGGAGAATGATTCTCAATGCAGAGACGCAAGTGTTGTAGATCAGAAGATTATTGGAGGTGACATCGGAGGAGTTGGAAAACATTTCCGCTGCATATGTTGCAGGTCTTAGGAGTTAAAAGTAAAAAGAGACGCAGTGTTTGAATAAAAATTAAAGAAAAGAGTAAGTGAAAAAAGACTGAAACACACCTACGATAGATTACATTCTTATTGTTAAACAACCGCAGCATATATTTTTAACCTCTCCTGATGAAAGGGATGGGTAACTACAGATGCAGATAACTACAACTAAAAAGCCTGAGAATTTAAATATAAGGAAGCAAACCAAGTAATATTAGCAACAATGACAAAATCCTAAAACTACAATCAGTTCAAATACAAATTGACTGAAAGTACTAATTGGAAAATGCTGTGTCAAAACTCATGATACTTACATGATACTTAAAAATGATCAGTGACAATAAGACACAAAGTTTTTAGTAGATTTATGGAGTTATAGCTACCTGTTGCATACATGTTGTGTTTGTTTTACCTTTATTTATCCAACCAAAATATAAACTGCACTGAATCTGACAAACAATAACATTAACTACAAGTTAACTTCTTGAATATGTTCTAAAGGGAGTATTTTTTATTTCATTATGTTCCAAAACAAAATTCACTTTCATTTAAATTGACTTAAATTACGCATAAAAGTCTGAAAGTGTATTAGATTAGGAAACTGAACTGGTGAACTAAACAACATAAGTTACACTGTTATACTGGATTCAGTATCACTAATTATGTTAACCAATGTTTCTAAGAATTTGTTCATTTCTTTTATAAAAAAAAAAAAAAAATTGGTAAGAGCTGATAAGTTTGTAGTTCATTCAACTCCACTAAAAAATATACCAACTTTAAAATATTCAAGGAGAAAAAGCTCTTTAAAAATACTTTACCTTGTTAGAAAAATGGTTTCTTCTTTACGTTTCTCTCCGATTGCTTTTTTCCTCTCTTTGAGGACTTACTGAGTGGACTTGCACTTTATTTGAATTTATGGCACGTCCTTGTTTGCAGAGCATGCATGAGTGGGGCTGTGAGTTCATTTCCATGCACATATTTTCTGATACTTTCACGGTAAATTTCAACAGGCAAATTTTTGCTCTCTTGCTGACAGAAGAAGATGTGTTTAATCATCAAGTGTCACATGACAAAACCAAGTTTATTTAATTTTATATGACTGTTTACAATATTCATCTTTTCCGGTTCAGTTAATCATACATTTAAACACATTAATTTGTCAAGGATATAATTGCAACAATGTATTATTAAAATGCAGGTAAACATTAAACAGACATGATCTGAATGCAGTATTCAAATCTTGTCATTCTACATTTGTTTACCCATCATTAACAGAGTATAATAAAAAATTTGACTTGTATGTGAAGATGCAACTGATGTCAGAGCCTACAGCGCCAGAACTCGTTTATCTAAAATCCAAACAAATATGTATCTTAGACAAAAAAAGCTGAATACATATAATTTAGTTTTTAAATGATGGTTTCATTTATTAAAGGTAAACGCTAATCAAACCTATGTCCTACGTGAAAAGGTAACTTCCTTACCCCTCCCCCACACCACCGTTAAAACTTGAATCAGTTTCACCTTCCAAAAAAAGAAATAAATATTTAAATATATAGATTTTCATGGGAAAACTTGTTATCTACTCTATAGCAGCAGCAATAGCATCTGGACTTTTCCGCTTTAAGACTATAGTAGTGCATATGCAATCTATCATCCTCAAGTTAACCCTCGCATTCACTTATTTTTATAAAAGCAACATGTGAGTTTTCCTGCCCTGTGTAGATAAAGGAGAGGCAAAACCAAATGGCTTGGTAAGTTGAACCAGCTTACACTCATATCGACCACACACTTGATAGTACGATTCAGCTCAGGGTGTTGGTTCATCGTGATGCTAACAAGCAGCGCTGCAAACCACAACCAGAACATGCCTAATATAGCTGTGACGGTGTAGAAAGCTCTCTGCTTTGTTTGGTTGACCAACTCCTTTTCTCTGACTCTGTCTCCTGGCCCTGAACGAATCAAAGCATAGAGAACAGACAGGCTGCAGAAAGATATGATTATTATTGACAAAACCAAAGTACAAAACAGCTGAATGGCGATGTCATTACGGATACAAAGAGCTCTAACTAAGGTCAGTCCAAAGCTCAGCAGCCAAGCACATCCAATGCTGATGTTTCTCATCTTGACCCCACGGGCAGCTCTTAGACTCAGGTAGGTGATGGGGTGAACAACAGCCAGGTAACGCTCTGCACAGGTCAGGATGTGTAAGAATATCTCTGCATAGAAAGTGATGTAACGAACATATACTCCTATCACTGCCATTAATGAGTGATTAGTGTGTGTGGGATAGAAATAGAAGAAACTGCCCAAGATCCACATCAGCTCGATGACAACCATGTGATAAGTGATGATGTCGGCGTGACTTGCAGTTTTGAAGGAGTGCTGCTGCCTCCATCTTTGGTGAGCCAGGCAGAGAACCAAGGTGCAGAGAGGGAGGATGAGGGTGATTCTCAACGAAGTGAAGCCAATGTTCATATAAAAACGAACCGTCGAGCATTGGCCACCCAGAACATCGTTGTAGGCGGATGAAGAGTTAACAGACATGTCTGCTGTTAGAGAGACAAATAACACAAGGAGGAGACAAAAAAAAAAGACGAACACAAATGTTAAACAAAATTGTACAAGTGTTATTCTAGTTGTACTGTAACTCAGTCTGTGAAAAGGATCAGTATTTCCTTGAGTATCTTTTTCATCATTCTTTTTTCTTTTTGTCAACAAATTTTAAAATGACACATCAACCGGGTCACTGCTCATGGGGTCGACTGGCCAGTCTTTTACTAACTTTAATGCTCTTTTTGTTGTTGTTTTTAATTGTCTACTCAGTATATTTGTATACTTTTCCTTTTTTGTTATTTTCGGACTTCTTTTCGACACTCGACATGACACCAAGGCTCACCTGGTGTAGGTGAGCCTTGGGGTCATGGCTCACCTGGTGTCCGGCTTTTCCGCCGGACTCCCACGGACTACTTTCCCGAGGAAATAATCTGTGGGCACGGAAATCGAAAAACCCACAATAACAAGGTAACCAGGAGGGGGCAGACTCAAGAGGGAGACACACAAACAACTAGCGCTGCCATCCTTGCTAATGTGCGGTCTCTCCGCTCCAAGTTGGACGAGCTGCAAGCCTGCGTCAACCACCTGCATGAGTACAGAACTGCCTCCATTCTGGCTTTTATGGAATCAATAAGAGCGACAAAGACAGCACGCTGCACATTGATGGCTTTTCACCACCTCTTCGTATGGACAGAGACCGCGAACGCACCGGGAAGCAACATGGGGGTGGTGATTGTCTGTATGTAAGCAACAGCTGGTGCTCTACCGTCACTGTGAGGGAGACCCTGTTTGATCCAGAATCACATTCCCTGAGGTCAGAGGTCAGTTCTTCTAGATGTGGAGCTACAGCCTCCTCCACATCCTCTACCCTTGGCTCAGTTCTTCTTCCTCTTCACCTGCAGCCTCTCGGTTCCGGCAGCCGACAGTCCGCTGTGCAGCAGACCCACGGCTTTCATTGGTTTGTATGCAGCAGACTTGCGGATACGTTCTCCTTTCAGAGAGATGACGTGAGGAAGCAGCGACGGCGTCCTCAAACCGAAGCCTGCAGCTTGCGGCCCGTGAACTCTCAACAGTAGCTGATCGCCCTCCACTGCTGTCACAGCCACCCAGCCTGCAGAGAGACAGAGAGAGAGATGGGCAGGTGAGGCAGGTGAGACACTGAAGGTGCTGCAGGTGATGTTTATGAATTTACCTGCAGATGACAGTTTGATGTCAGCAGCAGCCTCCAGGTAACCCCGACCCTCCAAACTGAACTCCTGAGGAACCAATGCAGGAAACTCCTTCATGCGCTCCGAGCCTCTGACAGGCACCCCCAGCAGCAAGTTGTAAAACTTTTAAAAAATCCAAAATTAATCGCCTGCTCCACATTGTCCAAACCCAACAGGAGTCTTTGCCCGGCCCATTCTACACACACTACAGACCTCTCCAGAGAATCCCCACAGCTTATCATCATCTTGGTTTACATCCACCCCAGAGCTGATGCAACTAAAGCCACAGAGTACTTCACCAACACTCTGTACAAACTGGAACAATTATCACCGGACTCTCCCAAGTTTATCCTGGGTGATTTCAACCACTGTTCCCCTGACAAGTCACTTAAGGGATACCAACAGTGTGTTTCGTGCAGCACACGTCAGGGGAAGACTCTGGATAAATGCCATGGCTCTGTACCAGATGCATTTAAAGCCCTACCCCTCCCCCCTCTCGGCTCAGCAGA